ACAAAAAATATGTGCCACTTGCTTTCACCCCGGTGCAAGGCAGGGCCGGACTTTTGGAATGAGGCCCCCCACATCTCGGGCCCTGCGCCGGCTCGTAGATCTGGAGCGGCCCTGACGAAGGCTGCATTTCGAGGGTTCTCCTTTGTATTTTGGGACAAAGAGGTGGCTTTGGTTCCGGGGTAGAACTCTGGGTCCTGGCTCACACCGCTCGCGATTTCAAACGGGAAATCACCTGAAAAGTGGTTGGTGGACATAAGCCCCCACCTACATGCTGTCCACCAAAAGGGTCCGGGACCCAAGACAAATCGCATCCGTGTGGCTTGCAGCTCAGAGCAACCTAGCGGAAGAAGACGCTGCCTCGTGTCGTCTGCGTCGGTCGCTCATCCTGCGAGGTGGGCGGGCTGATGCTCAAAGTACTGACCTCGGTCAGAACCATTGATATGAGCGGAAAGAAAGCAGTTGGCTGACGTAGAACCATTGTTTCAAGTATTTTGAACATCCAAAGTCAAAGGCCGGTCCAAATCGACGACTTGACTTTGAAAATGAAATGAAGCTGCATGAGCTTTGCTGCATGAGCTCATATTCGTGGTTCAACAGAGCTGTGATCTACATGTTGGAGGGGCTGTGCTCAAGGAATTTCTGCAGAAGGATGCTCGTAGACCTTCAATTGTGCAATCTTAAGTCTTAACTTGTTGCGTCATGGTCATGGCTTTCATGACACACCCAACCTTCTCATTGGGCGCATGGTGCAGTGCTTCCCTGTGCCATAGGCTATCCATGCCTGCCAGCTCTACACGTAGCTTCCAAACGTTCGGAACCGGGATCCAAATTCCAACCATCCGGACATGGACAAAATGGCTGGTTTTGGAGAAGGATGTTGAGACAGGAAAACTTCTCAAATCATTCCCTAGAACAGTACATAAATCAGATAGGCGTTAAGGTGGGTGCGCTAAACAGTGACACTCGCAAACTTCTCAAATAATGAACATGAAATCCGACCCTACAAAAACAAAGAGACGCCAACCTGAATGTTAGCATGAAAGAACCCAGCCAAGTTGGCTTCAAGCTAGATACTTGTAAACCAGTCAAGCTCAGAACTGTTTGGCCCAACAACCGCTTGTATCTCCGCAAGAGCACCACCTTGTGCTTCAGAAGGCGAATCAACGTTGCAGACTGGCACGACACCGCCGGTCGCTGCTCAAATGTACTAGCCTCCTCCAGAATGGAAGTCGGAGATGGCGGATATGCTGAATTCAAACAAGGCGTTCCAGATTCTGGGTGGCTGATAAGCACCGAGTATCCTTACTTGTACCGCGATTTGGTCATCTGCATGCGACCACAAATACCCTGATCATATTGTCCCTAACTCAAAAAAACAAAACATGGGCTGCACCCATTTACGAGTGGACGCTGCTCCCTACCTTCATCCCACCCTGACCACGCTCTCCTGCCGGCGGCCCAAGCGGGCAACCATGGCCCGCTTGGTGAGGGGGCACGGGCTGAGGTCGACGCACTGGTGAGGAGTCTGAGGCATTCTCTATAAAAGGTACAAACTGGTTGCTCTCGTTGTCACCATCTTTACAGGTGGGTTGTTGTCCGCAATGATGTCTTCAGAAATAATTACAAGCACACAACCTATAAATGCACAAGTGGAGGAATCGCGGCTTGACCTTCCCGGGAGTTCCAACCGATTCTTCCGAGGGATGCTTCCAAAAAGCAGGTTGCCAGTATGTCGCAGAGAAAATTATGTGAGCATGATCAGCGCTGGTTTGAAGACCCCGGTTGTTTCTGCAATCCAAGCAATGTTAAAATACTTCAGGCACCGTTCTGGAGTCAGAAGCGCAAGCATTGTTCAAGCATGAACTTGCAAAGAGATAAAGACCTTGCAAAGGAAAACTTGAGCGTGCTAGCCATGTGCTGGCTCTCGCTACATCGCGGCGACGGCTGTTCGCAAAACTCAAGTGCAACTTGCGGAGCAACCAAAGGCAGCCCGGAGAACATGCGCAATTCTATGACTGCTGCTGCTGCTGCTGCTGCTGCTGCTGCTGCTGCTGCTGCTGCTGCTGCTGCTGCTGCTGCTGCTGCTGCTGCTGCTGCTGCTGCTGCTATATACCTCTACGGCTACAACCTCTACGGCTACATCTCTCGCCGCTAGTACTTTATCACACGAAAGAGGGGTTCTCTTGAGCAGCTTAAACCAACTCCACAACAATGGCACTGGCCTCGCAAGGCAACTCGGTCTGTGATGAACTTGGAGGGCTTGTCGATATGAAATGATATTTTGGAGGAAACCAAATATGAGGTTGTGTAAAAGGGCAACCAAGGGCAAACTGCGCGTGTTGAGGCCATTCTCAGTGGTGCCCCTTTGCAAGAAACATTCGTGGGTATTCGCGGGTGGCATGGCCAACCAACGCCGCTTTGTGAGTTGGGGTGGGGATGCTTCCATGATTTTCTTATAAGTCATTGTTGTAAGAGGGGGTCTTTTGGCGAGGGAAGACAGCGGTGTGGCATATTCCCCCCCCCCCCTGCCCGTCCATTCTTGTTTTTCCTTGTGCCAAAGGGAATGAAGGGGCCTTCATTGGGGTATAGACCCTCTTGCCCGCCCAAACCCTCAAACCAAAAATAGCTCCTTCGGGGTTCGACAGGTCAGACTTGAAGCAAAACCAAGGCAAGGAAGACATGTTTGTCCGGGCCAAAAGGAAGCCGAAGAAATCCAAACTAGTTTCTATCCTTGTGTTGGGCTCGGAACAACCCTGATTCACCTGGGCGATATTTTTTCACACGCTGCCATACCATCACATCTGCCTCAGAGCCGGGTGGCTGACACTGAGCATTCCCTAGCCATGCGAAACTTTATCCAAGTCTTTGCATGGCACGGTTGGGCTTAGGGAGGTCAGAGAAAAGCTTGCAGTGTTGCAAGCACTCAAATGAACATAGTATCATGCCCAAAACATGGGAGGTTAGTTGCAGGGTGTTGCCGAAAATATGGAGCACCTAGCCAATGGAGGCCTTTCTCTAGTTTTTCCTGCAAGCACATGTGCACTGCATACATGAACACCACCATTCGAAGCCGAAATAATCACATCCACAAACAACTGTAGTTGAAACTCGCAGTTTGTTTGTGGCGAAGTACGCCCGCACTAGACTGAATTGTCCTCACAAACAGGCGCATCCCTCCGTTGATCAACCAGCTGCGTTTCAGGCGATGAGCTTCCCTCCGTTCAAGTCGCAACGTTTGCAAACGAACCATCGATGTTCGATTCGTCAAAATGTCCAGATTTGGCATGGTCAGGTCAATATGATCCGTACCCTTCCGAACCGGGGAAATATCCATGACCATGCATCATCGTCTCCCCGTCTCCTTGCGGGGATTCGAATCTCTCTTTGCTCGCGGCGCGTACCTTCTTCATGGTTGTTCCAAACGGAAACTGGATGAAAACACACAATTTGGGCGGTTCCCTGTTGTGTTTAGACCAAAAGCTATCCCTTAACAAAGGAAGGCTCTCAGCGCCTGCTTCGAAGGGATTCTCAGAAGGTTTCCGAGAAACTCTCTCAGGGAATAGGAGCTCCTGTCTCTGAATGGACAGGTTTCACATTGAGCTCTTCGCAGCTTCAGAAAATTGTAAATTGTGTTTCGAGGGCTTGGCGCGCAGCGGACTGAAGCCGAAGGACCAAAATACCAAGCAGACAAATACGTAGATTTCTCCTTACAATAACCTCCCCGCGGAAACCGCGAAATGGCACTGTCACTAGGACACTCAGCAAGAGACCAGTGCTGAGCGTAGCACCCCCGAGATAGAAGCTGGCTCCAACGTTTCTCGGCCAGCTGGATGCTCTCAAGTAACGCCTGGGGCTCGGAGCACCTTTACCTCACCGAAAGGTGAATGGTGATGAGACAAAGTGGCGGACCAGCAAAGCCAAGCAAAGCCATTGCATTGAAGAATTCGAAAAAATCGGCAAGTTGCCAGGAAGAGTTGCCTGTTTAAATCTCCAATGAAACCCCAATGGCGGGCTTCGGGGTCTTCAGGCTTGCTACAGCCCAAAAGAGCTTAGGAAGCTGCCGTTGGTAGTGCTTTCTGCGCTATCTTCCGCATGTTCATAGAAAAACCATGGTGTGAACTACTGGCCCAAGTCACACCAAGTGGTAGGTCAAAGCGAAAGAACCTCGGTTTCTGAATTTGAGAACCCCACAAAAACAGTCAAGCCACAGACCACCGGAGCCAACCGTTCCGCTTGGCCTGAGTGTCGCCCGCGCTCGGCAGCATCCTCAGTCGGGGGAAGAAAAAAAAAGTGGCCGGCAAGAAGGGGTGCTGTCAGGAACTGTCGCCGACCCCCACAAATTACGTTCAAGCAGGCCCAAATCCAAGACCCATCATGAAAATAATGCTGTTAGGAGCCAAAAGAGGTGTCCAACTGCGAATGGCCAAAATCCTGCGCTGGTTGAGATGGATCCTACAACTGCTGGGATATTCCACTTGCCAACTGGTGCTGGATTGTGTCGCCTTGTCATGTTTGTTGGGATGAGAGTGAATGATAACCATCACCAACCTGCAACAAGGACTTCCAAAGGAAGGAACATTCATTGCGGGTGAGGCCGCAAGAATTCAAGAAAGATGCCAGGATGGTGTGTTTTCCCCTGAATCCGAGGAGCGCTTCTGGGGGTTGTGAGGATATCCTTTTAGTTTTTCCTTAGAAATCCTTCAAACAAACGTGTGGGACACCAAATGTTGGCGTGCAGCTGCCAAAGCAAGTAGGCTGTATCGCTCCTTTCTGCACCACGGGCAGGCATGACAGGGTCAGGTCCAGAGAGCAGAGCGGAATTTGTTCAAGTGATGTGCTGCAAAAACAAGCAAGCAAGCAAGCAAGCCAGCAAGCCAGCCAGCAAGCCAGGCAGCAAGCAAGCCAGCAAGCAAACAAACACCCACCCACCCAATGAAAACTAACCAACCAACCAGTTTGAGACAAACTAAACCCAGCGGATATCTCCACCGCGCAGATTTGCCTTTTTGCCCTAAGCCCGGCGGAAGGTCCAGCCATAATGCCACGGCGGGCAATCGATCGGTCCGCGCTCCACCTGAGCTCAACTTACCACGGTGTAAAGAAAAATCTCGGTTGCTTTCTGCTCCCCTGCTAAAAGTAAGTTTAACTTTTAGTGGTTTAATGGAAAACCCATGAGTTGGCAAAAAGTTAAAGTCCTAACATCCAAGCAAAATGCACCAAAGATAAATGGAAGTTCTCTTTGGGGATTAAACCAAATAACTACATGCATGCGTTCAAAGCAGTCCCGAACCATATCTGCCCTTGACCGCATGCGGTGAGGGTGTCTTGAGTCTCGTTGTTGCAGAAGTCCCCTGACAGGGCTTTGCCAGGAAAGAATGTTGGGTTGTGCGGCACATTCAGGTGCACAGAAACTATAAACATTACGAGTTCCTTGTTGCGTCCTCAAAGGACAATTGCAGCAAAATAGACATCCTGGCATCGTTTGCTCGCTGATCTCGGTCAACGCTTCCAGAAAACCATTCACTTGCGCAAAGGATCTCTCAAAAGACAAAGAGCTGGGCAACTTCATGATACAATTCCCCAACTTCACAAATGGAAACTGCCTGGAAAGGACCTTTATTCACTGCATGGGTGAGCTCAGTTTGACCCTCTTTTTGCAAGTGACATCATTACAACTTGCCCGGGATCCAAATCGTAGCACGACATGGGGAAAAGCACAGAGTCAGATCCGGTCGATTCGCTTTTGCAAGCGCAAGTGAGAGTCCAAGCAATCTCCTTCGACTCGAATCTTGTGGGCAAAGTTGAAACCAAACTCGTGTTGTTCATCGAATCAGATAACAAATTACGGATGTAAATATGTTGCCTGCTACACTACCAGGCGCCTCCCCATTGTCCCCCTCCACGAATCCCTGCAGTGAGTCTTCGTTGGTGTAACCAAGGCAGAAGGGATGAAAAGGTGGGTTTGATATTCCACGAGCATCAAGCAAATGAAATGAGTTGCAATTGCACCGACAGAAGTCTGGCTTCGACTTCTGAGGAACAATCCAAGGGGTTCTTGGGCCCAAGCAAGAGCCTTGGCCAGCGGGAGCCAAAAACACCACCTAGTTCTATGAAGAAAACAGGCGGCTCCTTGCTGGGCCGCTGAGGAACAAGGAAGTGTTCACAGACTTGAAGCACACAGGGACCACCTGCGCGCACCCAGCGCACGCCTCCAGCAATCCTGGCGGCAAGCGTATGAAAACCAACTTGAGCTCTTCCCCAGGGCTTGGTTCTGGGGACTTCGTTTAAATGTTGTCATGGTGGCCCTAAGAAGAAAACCCTTACAACTTCTGCATTATCAAAGGGCTTCATGACCATCCCATCCCCAAGTGATGTGTTGCCACAGCAGATTGCAATCTCAAACACAGTGAACCCCTGCAGTAGACTAGGGAAAGCATCATGCAAGACCAAGAGTGCCTCCAGGTTAAATACATGGTTGTCTGCTAGATTAGTCGCTTGACTGACATGGATTTGCTGAAAAGGACACTGATCTTTGATTGCAGATTCTGAGCCTTGATCTTGGAGCGCCCGGATCTTATAGCAATTCTGGGTGCAACATCACTATCCACAACCCCGAAAACAGGTTCCCCTTAATTGCAGTCTTCATGGGCAAAGGGCGTGAACCGAAATAGTTCGGAGGTCGCTATCCTCTACCAATAGCAAACCAATTCTACACAAATCTGAAGCCAGTACCTAGCCAATACCCAAAGAGAAGTTCTTCCATACAAGGAGCATATTTTCTTTGGCGGGGGTCCATGTTTTGCTGCAGGGAAAGAATTGTCAAGGGGGGGTGGAGTAGTCTGGCGCACCAGTTTCAGAGAACCCTGTCAGATGATTATGGTTCGCCTCCTTTGGGGGGATTTGAGCGACGGACTGTCCCAAAGGAAAAGAGACTCTTTTAAGGAGCAATGGTCCTCTTCAATTATATATCAACTTTCACAGCACAGCAGAATTCGCCTGTTCCAAATTTCAAGCAAGACTTCCCTAAAGGCAAGTTTCTAACTTGGAAGACCCGGTCAGTGGAAGTGAATAACACATCCCAACCCGGATCAGGGACCCCGAAGAAGCAAATTTTCTTCACGGATTCCGGGCGCAAACCAACAGCCTTTTCCGCTTTTCGTGGTCATCATTCTTCGCCCAGAAATGTGGCTATCCCCAGCTGACTTGAGGGTGACTGGGCTAGAAGAAAGCAAAAACTTGTTGGCCCTAGTCAAATATGAAGAAACCTGGCAACAAAACGCTTCAAGTTGGAAAACTCAGGAGGGAAGACAGCGAAGACGAACACCTTTTCGACGTCTTAGATTCGCCCCAATCTTGGCCGCAATTCGTCGTTCCGGCCTGTCTGCATTGCCCAGTCTGCAAGCTGCTCGGGCCCTTGGCTCAAAACCCGCTAAGCCATCGCCCAAACGCAAAAAAAAAAGACGCAGCCAGCTTCCTTTTTTTTTGAGAAACGGGGCGCCTCTCAAGTGATTGATTTCTTCCCTGCAGATTAGGCCACGGTAAAATGAGATGGCAGAACTATTCCCTTGTCGGTAAAGGGGATGCAACTAACATGACGAAACTGTGAAATCTACTTCGCCCTAAAAAATAACTAGCATGGAACCTGAAATGCCAGTTGTGCTCCTGTGCGGCGCCTTTGCGGCTTCATGTTAGTTGGTGAGAGGGTATGACAATTCACCAACCCCAAATGAAGGCTCCTTACACAAGGAACCTAACTGGCTGCATCAAATATGACCATTTCGGGCTGCCTGGTTGCTAAAATGGGAAAAGAGAAAGGGCAAAGACGGATTTGCTTTGGGCGAGTGAGAACACAATTGCTATCTTCAAGCCAAGAGATGTCGCACAATTGCAGGTGATGACTGTTTAGGTGCCATAACGAAACATGCTTGCGACACTCGCAAACCAAAAGGTCGGACAAATAACATGGAATAACATGGAATATTGACAACAGCAGCTAAATGTGACTCACATTGCACACCACAGCTCAAGAAGGGAAGGGGAATTATATTCCAGGAGCCAAGCTGCGCCTACAAAGACTCCGCATGACTTGACTCCACAAAAAGGAATACTCATCGTCCCCTGTTGTTGTATAGGGGATGATGACATGAGGGAGAAATGACCGGTTTCATTCAAGCAACAGGGGCGCGCTCATCAAATCCCAGTCTGTTGAGGCCGTAGCAAAGCAATGACTGTGGCTCATACCGCAGACTGTGGCTCATGGACAACCTCTTGCACTACCTGGGATGATTCTCGGTATGGGATAAACCTCCGAACGCTGCCTTCCCCGGGTTCTTGGCGAGAAGCGAGGCCGGATCTTCATTGGAGGTCCGCGCGGGGTGCTCTCATCGTACCTAGCTGGAAGGGGGGGGGGGGGCGGGTGGGGTCAGGTGAGCACAGAAACTTAGAGGAAATACTTCCTGGATACCTGATATAGTGACCTGGAAGCACTGGGTGAAGGTTGAGTCTCCATTCTGTTCACCACCCGTTCTTGGTGTTTTTTGCCTTTTTTGTCCAGGGATGTTGCCGGGTTTCCTGTGGTATTCACCCTTTGATTGGGAGCTTCGGGTCCAACACAACAGTATCAAGGATTGTCGCCTAGAAACACATGAACATCCGGAAGAGGATTCTCAGTTCAATGTCATGAACATTCCCCAGCCAAAACAGGAAGAAGCCTCAGGTTCTGGAAATGGCCCCTTTCTGCGATAAAAGCAACCTACTTTCAGTAGCCGTTTGGCCCACCCTGCTTTTGCAGTGGTGCGGGGATACGAAAGCGAGCCCTTTGTTAATGTACTTGTTGGATCACTTGGCCAAATGCAGTGTTCTTGACATTTGGGCTGCGGGTGTGCTCTTGAACGTGCCGACCTCTGGCGTGATGCTCAACGTTGTCAACCAGGGCCTCAAGAACACTGAGTTTCGTGGTCGGTTTTCCTTCGCGAGCACTAACATGGAACCCGAAGAAAACAACCGCTAAAGGAAGGTGATCTTCCACCCATCCAGGCTCCATGTTCGTGGATGGGGCATCCTGTATGATAATGGGTTGCAGATATCCGGAATATGTGTCAATTTGAGTTAGCCTCAGTCAATAACGGCAACTGCCAAGGGGCAACTTAGGTATCTCGCCAAACAGGGCTTTCTTACCCTCTTTATATTTGTGGATGGGTTGAATTGCACACCAAAGGAAAGCAGCCACCCAAAGCCCCTGCCCTGGCAATACTGCCCTCTGCTGGTTTGCTGAGCACATAGCTTCGGACGTGCTCGAGACCTACAATCGCAAATACATCAACCAACGTTAAACTGGTACTGGTGTCCCCCTCGGATCAACTCAAAGGCATGGTATCCCTATTGTTCATTTCGAGGTACCCTCTATTCGGAGCAAGTCACAGGTATCGCCTGTTTGTTTTGTTTGAAAAAACCGATGGTTGATAAAAGATGAACAACTCACAAATCAACCCCAAAACCTGAAAATGGATTCCCCCGGTTAAACCCCACGCATCGCCGCATCTCAAATTGCCCCCATCCTTTTCTAAAACCCCACTCTGTGATGTCTCCCTCTTGCCCACTTTCACAGGGACTTTTGAAGGGCACAGCTGGCAACCCAAAGTCACGTTTCCAAGGCCCCACCTCAGGGCTGTGGGAAATGCCCACTTCTGTGATACAACCAAAAGGGCCTGCCAGAGGGGATTCAATTGTAGCACAGAAGTGGGTTTAAACCCCTTGATCCCACAAGCCTGTAGGCCCTACTTCTTGGTATTGGAAGCGACTGACCGACGCAAAAACAACAACTCGCGCCTCCAGTGGATGGCATAAACGAGGCCCTGGTCTTCCAGCAGCTCTGCGGCCTGGCGCAGCATCTGCACCGGCTCCTGAGTCCAATGGGCCCAGTGAGTCACGGCAAACTTCCTGCGTAAGGCTATCATTGCCTCGAGGGTTATATGGCCATGGGCTTTTCAAAGGCCAAATCGGTTAGCCCCTAGTGAACATGCCAATCCCCACTAAAACAAACTCTAATGGGTGGTGCACCTAAGCCAAAATGGGATCCGATTGGTTTTCACCCACAGCCATATGGACATGTCGATTCTTGGTGTAAATACTTGAAAATGGAACTGAGAAGTTGAGAAGAGTGTTGGCATCCTTTAGTTGGAGTACACCCCGCCCCCCCCTCCCCGTCTGCTCGCCGGCCATCCGTACGCATATCCCAAACTGGCTCGATTTGAACAAAAGCAAGCCAAAAAGTCCACTTCGAGGATTGTTGAAAAGCCGGATCTTACAGCTGGGCGAACTAGATGTCACAACTCCATGTTGGTTTCATCGTTCTCTTAACAAACAAAGAGATTGCGCAACTACCAACTCACCCAAAATCGCAACCCCAACGCCCAACTCCTCTCCTGGCAGTGCAGGATGTTCATCAGCAGCACAGCATCGGCTTCCGCTTCCAAGCCATAGCCCTGCGCAAGCACATCTCGGACCTGGGTGCGAGTGCGAACCTGTTGACAGAATCCTTTTGGAGGAAAGGGCGGCCTACCCCATCGTCTGACCCAACACGTCCGCATTCCGCTTCACATTCAAGCACAAAACAATCTAACATCAACTACCACTGATTCCTGAGTCCAAAGAAAAACCGGGCACCAAGAAAACCCCGCCCTTTTCAATAACTGACAGGAACATGGCTGACGCTTTGCCGATCTGGCGGAGTTCCGGCCCCGCCTCCAGCTCTACGCGTGCTTCGAGGCCGGCCGCCGCCAAGCCTCGAGCGAAGGCGCCAGGAGCTGAAACCACAGAGGTGGCCACCAACCGACCGCAAGCAACGATGAACCTGGGCTGTCCTCAGATCCCCCGCTAAAAGTTTAACTTTTAGTGGGTTCTATGCAAATCCCCCACTAAACACTAAAAAGCTAAAAAGCTAAGGGGATGGCTGGGAGCCACCAAGGAACATCCAGGTTAGCGGAAAGCCGCAGGGAAAATGTTCTGTGTGGAGCAACCACTGCGCAATCGGGATAAAAAGGATGGGGAAGGAAAATCAAACAAGCAAGCAGGGACATGGTTCACCCAGAGAGTGGTCCTCAGTTTGGCGGGCAGGCCGAGGGGTTGACATGGAATATGCATGGGGTTCACTTGTGTGCACCACGTTTGATTGAAAACAAGTTGGACCTCCTAACAGACTTGGACATCCTTTTCAAGGTGGCCCCTTTCTCTTCCAACAGAGGGCGGGGTGGCGCCGTGCCAAGGAAACCCCGATTCCGCACAAGACTCTTCCCAGATCGACATCAAGGGATCCGTTTTCGTTGTACACCCCGAACAATTAAAAGCATCCAACGAACTAATGGGCATGTGTTGACACGCACATCCTCCAAACATCGCTTCTTGGTTTGCTGTGCTGAAAGTGGTCACACACACAAATCAGCAAAGACACGTGTTTGACAAACTGTGCGAAGATCACCGTGCCGATGCTGATCAATGAGATTGACTTGGTATGCCATTGATCCAAGCTTGCTTGATGTAATCATGCCCTGGGAAACTCTGGCTGAATGTCCGACAACGCGTCGGGGTCAGTCCTGAGACGCTTTTCCTGTTTGCTCAGCAGTTTAGAAACAAAATTGGGGTCCGTTTCGGCCTTGGTCGATATTGAATTTGGCCCATTTCTGGACCGGGCTTTTGCCTTTCCCGCGCAAAACCACCAGACCCTATGGCCAGTGCAAAGCAAAGGTTGCTTGATGCTTGGATTTAGTGTGGTTTACCCCCTTCCAAGCAAAAGGCACTGGAGGTCTGGCAAACCGGGGGCTTAGCCCCAGCCTCGCGGCCTCGCACGTAAGCTGAGTCGCGCTGGCGGGAGGTTTCCACCATATGCTCCTCGATGTCGAAAGTGTGAAGCTTCTGAACACGCTGTGCCACCTGGCCACTTTTCAACAAATGTGGTTATGGTACTCTCTCTGCTTCTCATTTCCGGAGGCAGCCAGGATGTCAACCTCTAGGTTCAGCTTGGCTTCCCGTGACTACCTGCTTTACAACGAAGGGAACCACAGGGCTCAATCACAACCTTTGACCATTGCAGCTGTTGTCTACAACCTTTAGTAGGTTGATGACTATCTCCACACCAAAATGCAGGAACCGCTCTTTTGACCCGGACACGCCTGAATCCAAGCCCAAAAGGAAGCAGAAGTCTCCGTCCCAGCGAGTCCATGTGCCTACGTAGCCAAGGGCACAAGCTGTTACAAACCAAATCCGGTCATCTTTGATGCGATCCCACGAGTCTTTGCTAAAAAACAACAACGAAGTGGCTTGGATTGGTAGCAGCCCCATCTTGAGCGGAGTTGATGGCACACCTGGAAGGCACTTTCACATTGCGGTAGTGCAAGGTCTGAAAGATCAAATGCGTGCCATCAACTGGAGGGATTGACCAAAAACAACCAAACATCTTCCCTCTGTGATTTCCGTGAAAGCTTAGCGGATATTGTGACCACCGGAAACCAGTAGGATACAACCCAAAACGATATCCATTAACCAAACTCGCTTCCCTGCTACAAATGTTTGCTCACTTCTTCTGTGCCGCCAGGCCTTCCATCTCGTCCTCCCTTAAAAAGAAGGCTACCAGTAATTGTGTCAGTTCTTCATATGAGGTCTGTCAAAAAAAAAGAGAGGCCACTCTCATGTTTCTCCAAATAGAGGGAAGCCCAAAGTAGGTTGCTTGTTTCCTCTTGGCTGCCCTTTAAACCCGTTGCCCGCCATTTTGAGCACCCCCCATTAGTCTCGAGGAAAACCAAACGGAAATCCACCAAGGACCTCTTATTTTGACACAAACCCAGGCCCGAAGCGACTCGATCCGCACTGCGAGGCGCAGGTACGGTGAAGGTCCCATAGCCGCAGCCGAACTCCACCGCTCGCACATGGCGGCCCGAGGTAAAGCCCAGTGCGTCCAGCCTGAACGTTTCTGCCCATAACTTGGTCCCAGCGATTCCATTTCCGCTTTTCCCTCCGTGCCCAGGGACCCTTCGCTGGGCTGTGCTAACTGCTCAGGGTCAGCAGTTAACCTGGTCCAAGATAGCGGTGTCGTGGGTTCCATGTGAATCTGGAGTGCAACTTCCAGTTGATCCCAGGCAAGCCATTAGGTGACCAGCCATTTTCCTTTTTGAGTCAAAAGGTTGGTCTCTAAATTACCCGTTAAGCATGTTCATTCAGGTTGTCAATGATTTTATGCCTCCTATTATTAGAACAAAGGCATTTGCCATCAAGTTACTCCGTCCCTCGGAATGTTTCTCCAAGGTGCGTGGGCTCCGGGTGGAGAAGCTCCTCCCAGTAGTCCACCTAAAGCAAAAACAACACACATCAACAAAAGGAACAACTCCCCAAAACCTTGTGTTGCTTTCTTTGGCCTTTGTCGGCCTTATGTGTGCTTGGTTGGTAATTGGCACAGGACAAAGTTTTTGCGGCCGTGGTCTTTCAAGACCACGAAGAGGTCTTCGAAACCTCAGACCCTTCAGGCAAATCGCAATGCGTAAGCAAGACATCCCAGATCCAGTTCAATCGAGCAAGACTATATAGTTTCTTTCTGGAAACTCCCGAAACTAGCCGAATAAAAGTAGTCAAAAAGAAAGGGTGCGCTGCGCCATCTTCACTACAGAGCTGACATTTAAACTCGGCTGCGGATGTTCACCAACTGAAAACGGCGGCCATTTCCTACTGCTAGGAAGACCGAAAGGCAGTGCCGAGGTGCCGGTGGCATGCCGCTCTCACGCACACGCTGGCCACGGGCCGTGGCCTGGCAAGAATTGACTCAGACGCATTTGTGGCAGGCCAAATCTGGGGGGGACCTTTGGGGGGTCCGCTGCAAAAGCACACGCAGACGCGAATCTGCTTGGATGACCACTCCACGCCGGACAAGTGGCCTAAATCCCCAAGTAACTAAGTTCCCCTCATTAATCAACTGGGGACGCTGACCACTTATTCGGCGTGGGGTGGTCATCCAAGCATTTGTTGTCCATCACAGTCAGTTCCAAGGTAGGCTGAAGTGCCCAGTGCAAGGTTAAAGGGACACAATCCCAGATTTTGCCCTTGATAATTCCTAAAGCTGGACATGTTCATCTGAGTCATAACCAAAACGTGGTATTAAAATGGTCCACCCAACAAAAAAAACAGGGCGGCCGTACCTATTTCTAGTTGTGACTGTCCTGACTAACCTGGTTTTCATTGTGACTCTTGTTGAATTGAAATTCGGCAACCGCTAGAACAGAACCTTCCTGGGTGAGCTGGTTTTACCCCGAGGCGCGGTCGTTCCAATCCCACTTCATTCATGGGTCCTAGCTCTCATGCCTAAGCGCCTCCCGATGCTGGAATGTGCGGATCGTTGAAGTCAAGGCCTGAAATCGGGCTACTGGCCCTTATTGGGGAAGCGCAGGCGGAAAATGTGACAGGCCCGGCCTGGGGCCTGGAGGCATTACCCAAAACACGGAATTCCACCATGACCTGGTGATTGGGTTGCTCTTCCCCCCTAAACAAATGTAACCTTTTGTAGGTTCACGGAAAGGCCATGTGTTTCCATCATAACCAAGGGGGCTAGGGTCACACCAAAGACCAGCCATGGTCATCAACGATTTCGACTTTTGCTGCACTGTCAAGCTGTAGGTTTGAATCTGCGTGTTCAACAGGGGGTCGGGGTTACAAATTCCCCACCCTTTTGGTTTTCGTTTGAAAAAAGCAAAAAGATAGGCACCAAAAAGGAAACACTGGTAGTTCTTAACCCAGTTGCGCCATTCTGGAAGCTCAAAACTTCCCACCCTTAGGTGTTCCTTTCGAAACAATAGACAGCACTGGTACATGAGGATCGAGCCAAACTGCAACAAGTGCTATCTATGTTTCTCCAAGCTGACCTAAAAGGAGCTACAGCAGCACCTCAGGCCTTCGCACGCCGCCACAGAGTGCCGCCGGCGCATGCCTCGGTGTGAAAGTCTCCCAGGGGTGGCACCGTCCAAGGTGCCTAGCTTGATGTTGAAACTACCCTTCCTCTCACAGCCTCCACCCGTGGGAGAGTACCTGGAAGATCAACTTCCTCTTGGAGGGAAATTGCATTCTGTCAGGTGCAATTAGTGAGATGGAGGGCAAGTAGGGCTAAGCTGCAAGTGTGTTAAATCGACCACTCCCTGTTGGCCCACGTATATGTGTAAATCACCCGCACAAGTAGTTGGAGAATCCAGGGGGCCTATACCTTGAACAAGGTGTGGGGGAGCCATCCTGTCAAACGCAGCACCAGAAGCAATCGCATCGAACTGGGTAATGCAAGCGCGATGAAGATGCCCAGTGCTAAAACTGAGTCTGGGAGGAAGGGAGGGGTCCTGGAGGAAACCAAACAAGCAAGGGCCCAACATGAGTACTGTAGTGCAGAATCGCGATGTATTCAAGGCTTAGCCAATGACCTTTCCCCAAAATGTCTCAGTGACATGTTTTGGGGACCGTGGCCCAACATGGCATCGTCGTCTGACCAACATCCCTTGAACATGGCGCACAGGCTACCGTGGATTCCGGTTCAGGGTGTCACCGAAATGTCGTCAACCCAACCAGTGGAAATAAAGGCAAACAACAAACAAGCAAAAAAAAAGAAACAATGAACCAAAGTAGAAGCAAAACGATTCTGATAGGGCGGGTTCTTCCAAACGATTGGAAACGCCCCGCTTAACCAACTCTGACTTTGGCTGATGTTCCGAGTAGAGACAACCCCCTTCTTCACCCAAACAAAACAACCAGTGGTTTTTGAATGACTGCTGTGTTTGTATTGGAGACAACCCCCTTCCTCACCCGTCACCCACGGGAGCAACTTCCCTCTTTGCCAGCAGGCCGAGTTGCCGCTGGCGTCCAAGAGGACAAGTCTGGCAAGGCCGCATGGTGGCAGCCCTCATCTAGTTTTAATAATATGGTTCCCCTGATGTCCCATGAGTTTGCTGGATGCACCGGGGATGGGCGGCTAATCTGTCTGGACAAATTACAATGGTTCCCTCGTTTTTCCCCAAGAAAGCCTTTGCGCTCGTGACTTTCAACCAAGGGTCGCAACGTTCATAGTCTGGGTGAAGCACTATTCACTAATCCACCATGTAAGAAACCAGCCACCAGCCTTTCTACCGGAGACTAGCAAACATAAGCTGGCCCATTGCCTGCAGAAAATCCTGCCCCCGGTCGCCATGGAAGTGAACCTCTTTGTTTGCTCTGTCCGGGCGACCGTTACGTTGACGGCGGCCCTGAGAACAACAACACAAGGGCTACTGGAAAGAAATACTGATATTTTACTCCTGCAATCTTGACACAGTGCGGTTTCCAAGCAGTTTTCCCGCAACCCCATGCCAAGTACTTAGGCCTCTCATAGATTGGCTCATGGAAACAAATCCTTTCCAAAATACGCGATGCCATGGGCTAGAATCATTGCCGCTTCAGCAAGGCTGACAAGCCGTGATGCCTGAAAAAAAACTCGGGCCTCTCATACTGTGGACAAAGTCCTCCATCAGCTGGAAATGATGAAGCGCTACCAACATTGCAAAACCCACCTACAAACTGGTGCAAAGGGGATTTTGTCAATCCATAGGGGCACAGCTTTTTCTCGGCACTGAGAAAGGGCTGTTGGTTTCTAGTGCGCTGTACTTCAAGCAAGCAACAGAAGCAAACAAAAAGCAAGCAAGCAAACAAGCGAGCGAGCGAGCCAGCGAGGAAGCAATGTAGCAAGAATGGTAAAAAAAAGCAAAGCAAGCAAAAGATAAAATAAAGCAAGGAAAGCAAAGCAAGCAAACAAATCAAAGAACGCAAGGCAAAGACAGGAAAACAAGCAAGCAAGCAAGCAAGCAAGCAAGCAAGCAAGCACGCACGCAAGCAAGCAAGCAAGCAAGCAAGCAGGCAAGCAAGCAAGCAAGCAAGCAGGCAAGCAATCCAGGAATCAAGCAAGCAACCAAGGAATCAAGCAAGCAAGCAAACAAACAGCAAACGCAGTTAATCGTGAACAGCCACTCGCTGTAGCAACCAGCGGTGATTGAAAAACATGAAGGGCGTCGTTCAGCGGTTCTGTTCATAATTATAACGCCAACAAAAGAAGTTGAAAGCATTTCCACTCCGGATTTATCGACCGGAGACCATAAATAGAAGTTTCATCCCAGGAAATTCAGCTCTACTTGGTCCGAGTTTATTCAAGCTTGGTCCAATTGTTCAGTGACCCATAGAAGAACCATAATCGGAAACATTTCTTCTTTGGTCGGTGAGCTGACGTCAAGAGACTTGCGTTCCAAGTGTTGGATTCATATGGGCGTGTCTTTCTTTGGGGGGACCTCCAATCTGCTTTTCCTGTTGGTTTTTCCCTCTAAAACCACCAAACACGGGGCGCCCAGCAAAAAAAAACGCGCCGTAGGAGGTGTCCATTAAAGTCCATGGCTCCCCAGAAAACCGCTCGGGGCATCGGGCCCCGAATCGGGGCCCCAGCGGCCGAAAGCCCGGGCCACTGGCCGCCTGCGAGGCTCAGATTGGGATGGCCCTGTGGAGCCTCATTTGGCCATGGGTCAAAAGCCAAATCGGTTAGCCCCCAGTCAAAATCCCAATCCCCACTAAAATAGGTTCTAAAATGGGTGGTGAATTCACCTACCCCAAAATGAGATCCCAAAACGGTTTTGACCACCACACCTTTTTCGCCTGTTGACCTTGTGGTTGGCCGCAAGGTCGGCCACGAGAACTTATCTTGACATCTCCTTGGCCTTATCTTGGCCTTTAGTGAGCCTTTGGCTTCCACTTGCGGTGCTGCCGCCCGAAGAGAAACAAATACTAGTCATCACCTTTCCCCTTGAAAACAGAGAATGCTTACTTACACAGATCCTTCGCAAGCCATTGTGATGATCCGAATCGGTTGATCATGGCCACGGTTGTCTTGATAGGAACCAATATGTTGGCTGTCTATCAACCATATTCAGAGGTAACCATCCCTTCCAACCCGGAGAAAGTGGGTCTTTTGACCATGGCGCGCATGCCGAGGCACCTTTACGCACAGGGAACAACCGGGTTCTGTCATGCCTTTTGCAGTTGACCACATGGCCAGCACACTGCTGGCCGAGCCTCCCACTGTGCCTTATATTCGGGACCCCAAACAACCCCTGCTCATTTCCCGCTGAACACAATGTCCTGAGCACTCGATAGACGCTCCTGCAATGTTCCTGCAATGTTGACCAAACCTGGAGCTCACATCCAATCTGACCTGGCCCATCGAAGTCCTTCTCACTAGTCTGCGAATCTCACCTTCTCCCTTTGTTTAGCACTCCTTTCGAGTTGGGTCGTCAGATCCCTTGGCATCCAACACACAGATCGATGGCTTGCACCAGCGACCAACCGATCTTGCAGATCTCCGCTGCTATGCATGATAGCTGCCACACACACCGAACAACAATTAAACTTACAAAACATCGCCAGCAGATGAATGACCAGAGGAAGGATGCGCCATGCTGGGAAGCAAGCAATGTCCTTTACCATGTTTGGCGCCTCGATGCCAAACTAAACTGGCTCTGGCCCACTTAAGGAACACCCATGTTGAGAACTGTCAAACGTATTGTTTGATGGTGGTTTCTCTGTACTCCACAATGTGGATTGTAATTTGGAGGATGTCACCATGGCCCAACCCTGGGGTTCACCAAACTCCTATCCGATTCTGCTTCATCTTGCTTTAACTACCCCAGTGCTTCCAGGTACCTCTACAGTGGAATCAACCAGGTATGACTACCTCTAACTTTTACACGATTCCAAATTTATCTTACATGAGCTTGGAGGAGACCTCAGTCACTCTCATGAACGTGGCGTTGTTCAAAGCGCAAAGCGCAACAGCGCGAACTCCGCCGCTCCCCACCTCCGGCAAGGCGCTAACCGAACCAGGCGCGCTGCGCGGGGAGCGGCCATGGCGCTGTCCCCACGAGAAATGATCATCAAGTGGTCTCCAAAAAGCAATTGCGAAGAACGCCATACAAGCACAGATATATATATATATACATATATATACACATGTAAAAAGGGCGTTGTTGGGAATGGGGCGATTTCGAATCTAAATGAATGCCGACTTGTTGATGCAGTACAGGCAATGCCATGCAACGTCTTGGCTCCAGCGTGTACTTGGCAGTCCATTAACCCAGTTGCCTAGTGACCCTGGCGGTTGGGAACCTTTTGTTTGGGTTGGCCATCTCGTGTTCAGAGGGTGCCACTCAAGCACTGTGATCCCAGGCACCCGATTGAAGCTCTGTTTGCCTTGGCCCAAATACGTCTATTGCTCTTCGTCCAGTTGAATAGCACCCAACACCCGTCGACATTTGGCTCTATAAAGATGGTAACAAAGGTTCGTATTAGGCCTTACTATACGCCCTACGACACCAGGTCACCACAATAGCCTATTTAGGGTTTGTTTCCCCCTCCCCCGTAAATGGAAGTCGACCCCTTCCCTGCGCCTGAAAAGAGCGGATGGGAATTCCCGCTTTGCCAGGCTACCGATTGCCTCAAGGCTACTCTGAGCCATCCACCTGGATTGGTCAATGCAAAGAGCAAGAATACTTACTAGGTCCTCCCATAGAGAGAGTTTACAATACGGGTACCCTTTTTCTGTAGTCGAGGGGCAAGGGAAGGTTTTGACCAATCACGGGCCAGGGGCAGCCAGTCATTGTTCGTTGATGGCAAAAGAACCGAAGCCCGCCTCCACGGATCTGAGGGAGCAGACAAAAAGAGCACAGCTACCTCCGGGTCCCGCGACACTAGGGAATATGATAGCTTCCCACGTGGAGTGAAGAAGCCAAGACGAGGTCACACCAGTTCTTCGCGGTGCTGCGATGCCGAGGCGGGACACGATCATTCCCTTTAAAACGTCAAAAGGGTATTTCTCAAGGAGTGTTCCCCATAAGGCAGTTGGTTGCCTGCAGTTGCCCCTTCAAACATCAAAGCGGAATCCCGCTTTTGAGACGCAATCGGATATGCTTCCAACCATCTATCTTTGGCTTCAAAGCAGAGCATCATTGCCTAAAACAGATTGTTCCAGCCAAGGAGTTGGAGAACCCAACTCCGCCCCATGGGTTCTGAGGCAGCGAAAAAGAAACCAGCATGCCCACACCCGATCCTTATGAGGTGAACGTTGGTGTGGCGGTATTCGTCCTGTGAAGCCTTGCCTGCAACCAGCGCTCTTCCCATGTAGGGCAAAAAAGAAAACCACAAGTTCGCGGCTGGTTCAAAAAGGAATCCAGACCTTGTTGTCATTATAGTCGGCCCGTGTACCGACTCCAGGTGTACATGGTTCCCTGGGTTCCTACAACGCCCCGCGTGGAAGCATGGGGGAAGCCAATGGGAACCTGCTACGCAGCCTCTGGCTGGGCTCGGTGCTGCGTGGCGGCAGAGAGCATGGACAATGCCTGAGGCATTTCCACTTCGACACGGGGAGCCATCCCAAAATATGAGAAAGTCGCCATAGGCCTCGCCATTGTTGAATTCCCCAGCCCAGTTATTGTTCACGTCTTTTTTTGGTTGAAATTTGGAAAGTCAGCCTTCTGCAGAGAATGCTACGTAGTTGAGCCATCAAAACAAACAAAGCTTTCCAATGGGCATTGCAACAAAGGAGACACACAGTTATGGACAAATAGCAACCGGGCGCTTACTATCGCCTCATTGGCGCGGAAAATGTTTTAAAACCCAAGACAAGACCGGCAGTGTCATGCCCTCCATGGTTGCCCAAAAGCAACAAGCTGAATCGGAGCTCGTCCGCTTTCTGACCTTTGTCTACCTTTATGACCTCCAAATAGGACCCTTTTAAGAACTTGGGGGTGTCTTTCTGGCATTTCTCGAGGGCCTTTCTGAAATTAAACAAGGCAAACCAAAAGCTCAGCTATTTGGAGCTTGCGATCGAACATAGACCCAGCCGATAGCCTGGCATCCGTTGCTCGTTGCCAAAAGAGGGTTGAATGCCCTTGACTTCTCCCTTTTAAGCTTGTTGTGCAGGAATTCAAGAGGACGCCCCATGTGCAGTGTTTTCTCTAAGCAGCCAAGACGGAAGAAAAGGATCCAACTCGCTGGGAGATGCTTCGTGGCTCGCCGGATCGGGAGTCCCATCGAAAGTTCCATTTCCCACTTCCAAGTTCTTGGTTGGACTTTGCAAGACAACCAGACAGGGACAAAAGCGCCATTTCCCATTCAGAAATCACACAACCCTTAAACATGAACTGATGTTTCGAGACGGGCGACTTAAAAAAAAGAGTCCAAAGCTAACATGTTTGTCCCCAACAGCTGAAAGCGTTAAAGTCTCTGCCGAGATAGGCACTGGAGTTCTTCAGAGCCACTGCGGGTTGTTTTAGAAGGGCTCCAGAAGTTGTTATTGGGGATACGACGGATACCACATGGTTTCTTCCCTGACTCCCAGTGCCATGGGGGCACAAAATGGTCCCTTTTGCGTGCAGTTTATTACCGAGGGCGCACCCCCTCGGGAAAAAACAGTTGTCACTCCCAGTTAATCGCAGTTACCACTAGAATTGGCAACCCTTCACCCTCCTCCCAGTGCTTAAATTCACCACATGGGAAAGTAATCCATGGTCCAAACTGGGGGCCAGGAAACATGGCAAAAGTGTCCCATGGTCAAAACTGGGGGTCCCGAATGGAATATTGATCAAGCTCCCACTTGGTTGCGGTTCCCTGTTTTTAATTATTTTGGACCAAGGATATAGGTAAATACACAGGAAAATTGGTAACACATATTTGGGAGGTTCATGGTCCTTTTACATTTCGGTTGTGTGAAGGTCCCAAACCCCCCCCCCCCCCCGTTGCACTCCTTCCACCGACCCGAGGCGCCTCCTGGAGCTCTGAGCGGAGCTGCTGCACCGGGGCGGTGGCTGGAGCGCTCAAACCTGCGGGCGAAGGCCCGAGGTTCGGCCAGGCGCTGGAGCATGGAGTGCTCGAATTGCTTTTTCTGGGGTCTCCCGGTTGCAGGCCATGGGTTGCATAACCTGCGATCCCAAAAACTGGGGTGGATGAACATCCATTTGCCACCTGTTTTGATGTTCACCAGGGGTACAGGGTTTTGACCCACAGCCATGTGTCTTTAAGTTTGCATTGCTATGGATTTTGCGGGGTTTCCTTGTGATTTCCTGTGGTCGCCTCTGGTTTGCCCATGGTCTCTTATGCTTTCTCTGGGGAAGATGCAGAGTAAAGTGGTCCCCAAAATTGGTCTGACAATTGGTTGTGCCTAAGTGGAACGTACTGAGTAGGTGAGAGACCGAAAGGATTGAATGCCTCACTGGAGGGGGCCCTCAAACATCACCCCGCCAAAAGGAATCACTGGGGAAATCGAGCTGGACTTGAGAAACAAGGCATTCCGCTTCTTGGCCGTCTTTAGTTGCTTTACACACCACCTTGACCAATTTAGAGTTTTCCCAGATACCTCTCTATTTACTCAAGTCCCTCGTAAAACATAGGAACATGTATTTCCAGTAGTGGTAGACTCCCCTTCAACCAACGGGAAATCAAAGCAAATTCTTAGCAACTGGAAGCAAATAGGCAACCCTGGTCAAGGAGGCTGGGAACCGCACCGTGTGCCCCATCCCGCCGGGTCAGCTCTGCCACTAAGGCCGACCTCACGTCCGAAGTTCGGAGGGCCCCTTGTCTCGCCGACTTGGCTCGATGGGCAGGGAATGAGGGAATGATCCCCTGAACCATCCGTGGTTTATTTCCTGTGACTCCCTTCATTCCCAAGCACGCTTCTCTGAGAACGAGCGAGCTGAAGGGCCTTCAAATAAAACGTGTTCCCCTATTCGAATAAACTGAGTGAATGTATTTTGGAATCAACATGGGAACGCACGCGATCACGTTTTGGAATCTTGACAATGGTTGCACACATGAGAAAGACTAAGCGAGCTGGAAGAGACACCGCGTGTGATATACAGTGTAAGCTTCGATGTCCCAAGACCAACAACAAGTGCTCCATGCGGGCCGCCTTGTGCACGACAGCAATCCTAGAAACTGACCACATGCGAATCGCACACTTGCAAAGACTTGCACGTCGCAAATGTGGTGAGCTCTTAGACTTCACTGCTGAGGGACGCGTTGAAGCAAAATCATGAATGGCACCACCACCTTGTACCTTTGCCGGTACCACACAAGCAAAACGTGTTGGAACCACCTGTGCAACAAGGAGCTCAACAGCTGCGTGCGAAAAACAGTCCTTCAAGGGCAAAGTGTGCTACGCCACTAAAGCCTATGATCTGCCTTAGTTACACATGTTCCCATGTCGTTGTGCAGGTCGTTTCCGACAACACGCAACCTTCTGGGGCAGGAAGCACTCGAAGACGTCTGTGTTTGCTCTTGATGCAAGGGTCTCTCAAATGGGGATTCCCTTTTTGGTTACTTTTTGCCTCTTAGAGAGAGCCCAAAGAAAACCAACCGCCTGAAGGAGGGTCCTAATATTGAGAAGCTCCTGTGTTTTGTTGCAGTCGCTGTCGAGCGCCGCTGCCTCCACACAACCGCACCATTGCCGCGGAATTCTCATTCGAAGAGATCACCCCAAAACCATGTCCTCCTGATCAAAAAACACAACAAAGGCACAACACGCAAAGGCAGCTTGCCCCGCATGTAGATTCAGATGCCGTTCCGGATGTCGTTGCCATGCCAAGACTAGATTGACAGACTATGTTCGGCTCCTTCGAATTCCTTGTGGGCCGCCTTGCGAACAAAAATATACCGCAAACATCGGTGCAGGTCCTTACTAAAGGAATATGCGAGGAGGTTCTTTTCTTGCCCAAGTGAGTTTGTGGAGTGGTGGACTCACTTGAGTGGAACGGGACTTCCCCTGCCAGCTGGGGGTGAATTTACCCCTTGTCCGAGCGTTCACTCCGCTGGGCATGCGGCAGCAGGCCAGACTCAAAAACTGTCTGGCATCCCGTGTTCTCCTCGCCCGAGCGCCACACTGCCCGCTCAAACA